TTAGCAGTTAATTCTAATTGTAAAAATTTGGAAATCTAATGTGTATACAATGAAGGATCTTAGAAGCAGCAGGGGGGAATCTACCTCAAAGAGGAGCTTCCAGGAGTGGAATGTGTCCTTTGGACCCTGAGATCCTGGTGAACTGAACCTCCTCAACCCAAGGAGAGAAAGCTGTGATACTAGAGGAGCAGCAGCAGAAAAACAAAGAGCCAGAAAATGAGACAGAATGGTGAGCTTCCCAGCCCATGAAGCAAGTAAAGGTGAGTGACTTTGGACAGGAGGTTTGCTTGCAGAATGAACTTAATTGGGGGAGTTATGTTTGCTGACCCACAGTCAGTCTTATGGTGGAATGTGTGCCCTGTGGGCATGGCAGAGGAGAGGTTATCCTGAATGGAAGCATAGTGCCCTGTCATTTCTAACCCTGAATTGTAGCCTGTACACATTACCTAATAAACCCCGTAACTGTTGAGTATGTGTCTGGGTTCTTGGTGGCCATTGCAATGAATTTTCAAATGTGCCGTGAGAGTGATAGTCTGGTGTCATTTTTTTGCAATTATAACTAAGTTATAATGATAAAACTATGATTTGGTAAATTTTTTAACCTAAGTTTTCTTAAAGTAAAATATACCTATACAGGGATTTGACTTTTCATTTATTGGTTTCAAGAAATACAAAACAGAATCATCATTCGTCAAATACTTCTTTGCTAGAAAATCCCCCATATATATCACATACAAAGAACTTAATTGAGACCTACGAAAAAGCATAATTATTCCCATTTTCCATATATGAAGTCTGGAAGCATCAAATAGATGAAAAAAATTTCCTAGGGTTAAATAAAATTATATCGCACAACCAAACTCAAATCAAGGTCTATTTAACCCCAAAGTTCCAGCCCTTTCTACTGTACTAAACAGACTTCTGTAATCCTAAAAAAAATCTACAACACAACTTAGAAACAAAACAAAGACATAGCCTTTATTTTAGGCAGCACTGTTATTACACTGGAAATCAAGATGGTGAATAGTTACACAATAAAGGTAAAAGAATATGTGCGATTTCTTATTCTTCCCATTATACTGACAGTTTAAAGAAAAGAAAACCTTAAATAGGGATTTCTCAATCTTGACACCAACAACATTTTGGGTCAGTGTGTTTTGGGGATGTTTAAGTAACATCCCTGGTCTATACCTTCTAGATGCCAGCAGCATCCTCTTTCCACCCTAGTTTAATAACCAAACCTCTCCAACCCAACCACTGCCAAGTATCCTTGGTTGAGAACTACTATTCTAAATCACAATTTTCAACAGTTACTTCTCAAAATATAATTGGATAATCAGATCTCTATACATCTTGGATAGTTTCTATATAGCTAGTATCAAAAGCACTAAACCCAAGTACTTAATGGTATATAAACTATTGAATGAAGAGCTCATACATAAGCTATTGTTTTTTAAGCTCTGAGTTCAGGAAGACAATAATGATTTTTACAGACAGTCAGAGCCATCGAGGTTCAACAAGCATCCTTAAATAAGAGTCCTGGTGTGGTGCTGTGGGCCAATATGCTGGACTGCAAAGAACCACAAGGTCAGTGGTTCAAGCTCACCAGTTGCTCCCTGGAAACCCTATAAAGGGTCACTATAGGTAAGAACCGACTCGATGACACTTAACAGCCAACAACAAACACTTGTAAGAAATTAAAGAGTTTAATTTTTCTCCAATAAATTCCTGTGCCTAAAAAAGACACCATATACTTTTTGTGAGTGTGGCTTTAAGGAACAGCGATTTAGTTTCTCAATTTAGGAGGCTAGATATTTGAATTCAGGGTGCCAACTGTAAGAGATTTTTTTCTGTCTATTCTTGGGGGAAATCCGTGTTTCTTTTAGTTTCTCTTCCTCGGTTCCTTGGAGAGCTTCATGTAACATCAGTCTTTCTCCATTTGTACTTGCTTCTATGGTTAATCTGTGTTTTCACATCTTAAGAGTGGTTGACTTCAAACATACCCTACCCATTTAACATCACTTAACAAACCCTGATAAGGCTTCATTAATTGACGTACAAAGAAAGTTCTATTCCCCAATTAAATTATACCTACAAGTACAAGGGTTGCAATTATGCCTTGCAATGGATGGCTTTTTTTTTTGTCCCTCCATTTTTTTTTTTCATTATGAATTGAGTGAAGGTTTACAGACAAGAGCATCAGTTTTACATTCAACAAACCATATACTTTGTTTCATCTCAATGATTCCAGTCCCCACTATGTAATAAGCTGCCCCACTTCCTACTTTGTAGGAGGAAATATCCTTTCCTTATACCCCATTCAGCCTGTCTCTGTCCATCTATCTATGGAACCCCATTGGTCCAAGGTTGTGCATATAACCACTATTTATCTATATTTCTTTTAGGTCTTGCATATCTCCCTATGTCTTCACCTATCTTCATAATTCTTCTGCCAAGCTACCTCTTCTTGTACATTGTCCTCCTTTTCACCAAAGTTAATATGTATTTACCCTATTGCTGTTGTTAATTACTACTGAATTTGTCCCAACTCATAATGACCCTGTATAGGGTTTCTAAGGAACAGATGGTAAGTTTGAACCGCCAACCTTGCAGTTTAAACTGACCTTGCAGTCCAGTGTTTATTCTGCAGTGCCACACCAGGACTCCCTCTAGCCAGTCACAATATATTATTAACAGAAAAATACCTGTGTCAGAAAGTTTCCAGGAAGATCATAGGTTTTACATAGTTCTGATATGGTCACCTGACCACTTTCCTGCAATTTATCATTTACTTCCTCTGCTAATCGATCCAAATAGCTCCTGATATTAAAAAAAAAAGAAAAGAAAAAAAATTAGGAATATTTCTTCCCTCTTATGTTGCCATAATATATAACCCAAAAGGAATATATATTTCTACTTTCTGAAATTTACTGGATATGTGTAAGTAAACACTATTCATTATTCATAATCTGACATTTTTCTATCAATGTGACTGTTAAGGTTAATCAAAAGACAAATGTTACAGGGTGTTGCGGAGGGCAAGGCACAACAAGGGGAAGGGGTATGGAAGAACTAGGTAGATAGGAGAAGATTTAGGAAGGTTTGCATGGGCTAAATGGTACAGAGGTAAATAGTCATCTATGCTCAACCTTGGAACAACAGGGTTCTGTGACACAGGGATCGAGGCAGAGTTTGAATGGGTAAGAGAGGGGAAATAATGTTAAGATGCTTGACTGTCTTATGAATATTGGTTTCCTTTGCTTACTATTGTAAAATAGACACTTGAGTGAGATAGAAAAGAATATTGGTAAACATGGTTATAGAAAGCCTGTAAGTCTGTCTTCAGCCTATAACTAATTGGAATACCGAAAAGGGGTGCTAGAACTTGCCCAGTGAAAACAGGATTATTGCAGAGCCTTTGCAGTGTATAGGACCTTAGGTGGAATCCTGATACCCATCCAGAACTCTCTGAGGTGGGACATTCCCACTTGAAAGGACAAGCAGACCAGCATGGAGCAGCTAGAGGAACAGAAGATACTTCCTGAAAGAAAGACTAGCAGGAAAATTCTAAAGCAAAAATGACGGTCTGATTGGCTACTACGAGAACAAACAAGTTGTTCGCCACGGAGCTATCAAGGCAAGCAATCAAGTCCCGTCAGGACAAACTCCCTTCTAAGACTGAAACTCAAAGGGAATACACAAGCAGGCACGTAAGCTTGCTGGCGACCACGTTGGTCTACAGGTGAATGAAAGTGGGGGGAAAAGCAGCATTGAAGATATGGGCTGAGTTTGACCACATTCCACAGACTCCTGTCGACCTGGAGATGAGAGAGAGAAGAGGAAGGGCTGGTTGGTCTGAAGTATGGTAAGACCTGGGGACTCCTGGGCCCATGGACAAAGATATAGCCATGAAGGGCTAGAGCTAAAAGCAAAGTGTCCAGCTGATATAAAGTGAGGGGAGATGCAAAAAAAAAGCCCAAACTTGAAGATAGTTTCCATTTGACCTAGCTTCAATGGCTGGATGATCAGAACTCAACTAGAAGATAATAAAAGCAACAAACAAACAAAAAAAAAAATTATAAAGGAAACAAGTGTAAATTGCTACAATTTGATGAACTTGACCTATGCTTATGGAAGTAGCAGCTCAAAATACCAATTGAGAGGGAAGGAATCTTCACAGCAAGGATCATTCCCTCTCCTCTATACACAGGATTGATAGGGATGGGTAACTATGACATTGGCTCTCTAAAACAGGAGGTGGGATGTGTGTGTAGGGGGGAGGGGGGCAATAAAGGCATGAAGTGACTGGCTTACAAATTTTGAAGAGGGAGTTTAGTTTCAGAGTGTGCAGGGGAAGGTAGAATACCCACTGGATAATTTTCATAATGTCTAGATGGGTCTGGTGAAAGGAGTTGGGGGATAAGATCCATGATTCAACAGTGAGTAATTGTTATTCATGACTAACTTTGATTGTCACAACTGTAAAGGTATTAGTTTTGTAACATAAAAGGGGGAGTAATCTTACATTCCAGAAACAGAGGACCCTAGGACCATCAAGGGAGAAGAGCATGAGTGGAATGTGGGACCCTACTCAGAGATGCAGCAACACTACAGATGGAGGCAAAGAAGATGACATGGAGAGATAGCAGCTGACGACTCTAGACTCATGGGAAGAGCAAGGTTGTGTGTGTGCTGGCAACTGTGAGGCAGGCTTGCAGAATTTGCCTTTTGTTGTTTAAATGATTATATATTCCTGAGTGTTTTTGTGTACATCAAAAACAAACAAACAAACAAACAAAAACCCAGAGGGAATAGAAGCAAATACTACTGAATGATGATGCATGAAGGGGATTGTAATCATTACAATGAAACAATGAGTATAAAACCGACATTCTCCCATGTAAATTATCATTCAATTCACACACACACACACACACACACACACACACACACACACACAAAAGACAAGTGTCGTAATATTTTTAACAATGATAATTTTGCAGTCATGTTTCAGTGTTACTTCTTAGAATAAATCTGCTTTCACATATAAGGTCTGATAGAAAAGATTTACAAATTATGGTTTTTGTTGTTTTAAGGTAATAGAAAAATACCAACTTATATCATACCTAAGCACTTCAAAGAATTAAATGCATACTTTTAAAGTAGAATAATGATTTAATAATAAAAGATCAGCATTACAATAATTACAAAAAGTGCCTTACTGGCTATAATTGGAATACATTTAACTATAAACTCTATTAGAAAAAAAAAAAGTCTTTCTAAATATTATACTTACTCATCTATCAGTTGTCCCAACACTAGCTGAACCTGTTTTTCTGATTTAATAATATCACCAATTCTATTTTCAATATGAGTTAGATCCACATTAATAACCTGGAAAATATATACATATTGTATTAATGAGAAGTTAATATAGCTTAAGTTATAAATGATATCCAGTACCACTGTTGTTAAGTGTCGTCGAGTCAATTCTGACTTACAGCAACCGGTATAGGAGTTCCAAGAAGCGGCTGATAAGCATGAACCTCTGACCTTGTAGTCTAGCACAATAACCCACAGTGCCACACTAGGACTCTTATACAACAATTTAATATACTTACCAGATGTAAGAGCCATGGTGTGGCACTGTAGGTTAAGCACTGGACTGCTAACTGCAAGGCTGGCAGTTCAAAACTGCCAGTCGCTCTTAGAAACCCTAGATAGTGTCGTTATGAGTCAGAATCAACTTGACGGCATACAACAGTAACAACATTATTAAACGGGAAGTTCAAATTCATTTGAAACAGTGTAAAAGTTTCAGTCAAAAAATTAACAAGTTTACTGTACATTTACGTTTAGTTCTGAAAATTCTACATGCCAGTAAAGATTTTATTAAATATTATGCTACACTACCATCATCAGATATTGTTTCACACAAAATTTGCCAGTCCTATTGTTTACAGTATACCTTGATGCACTAAAAGTTTTAAAAATTGTGTTCTACAGTTTCTTTTTTGTTTCTCCACTAATTCTACATACTAAAACCATGAAAATTTAGTGAATTTTTTCCTTTAAATTACATATATATTACAATTACATAAAGTTAAGACTAGAGATGTATTTGAAAAGACTTAAGTAAATGAACAGAGAAAGAATTTATTAAATTGATTTAATGTTATCAGTGAGAGCTATATAACTATTTCTTCACAAACATTATACAAAATATGTTAAAAGTATTAGTGAATTTTTAAAGCACTGAAAGAATTCATAGTATCAAAAAATTGAAAAATCAATGTGAAGTTTTATAAATTTAAAAAATTACCTGCTGTAGATCAACAATGTTTACTCGACCTTTAAAAGAAAAAGGCATATAGCTACTTATTTAAATTTATGTATAAGTACATATCAGCCCCAAATTATAAATTCTAACAAGTATAAATTTTGAACAGCCATAATCCCTTTTCTACAAAAGACACTCATATAGAGCAATAATGGCCTCAGATATAAACCATTAACTCAGTAAGATCTACATAGATGAAGCCATAAGCAGTAAGTCACTTTCAAAGTTTTATGTATCACATCAGGCCAATCAAGCGATACACAAAGCTGGCCTGACTTTATGAGGATATTTATCTCCTTTTACAATACAGAATTTACTATTACAAAGAGATTTATTGTCGTTTTTTCTGTTGTTAAGTGCCATTGAGTCAGTTCCGACCCATAGTGATCCTGTATAGGGTTTTTGAGGAGCGACTGATGAGCTTAAACCACCAACTTTGTGGTTCACACTGATTTTGCAGTCCAGTGCATTAACCCACAGTGCCATACCTGACAACTAAATTCAAATGAACTTTTCTAATGATTTGACATGGGTAGGTAGGTTTCTACCTATCTGAGAAGATAATCTGCTAAATATTCCAAGTGACAGCTTATATTTTGCTAGTGGTGCTGTAGGTGCTTATATTTTGCTAGTGGTGCTGGACTGCACAGTGGGTTTAAACCACAAGGTTGGCAGTTCAAGCCCACCAGTGTCAGAAACCCTATACAGAGTTAACAACAGCAAGATATAGAAATGTGATGAGCGGTGGTTCCATACAATAAGTACAGGACTGAGAACCACAAGAACTGCAGTTCGAGCCACTCTACAAGGGAAAATAAGGCTTTCTGCTCCCACAAAAGTTTGAAGCCTTGAAAATCCTCTACAGGGTCGCTATGAGTCAGAACCAACTTGATGGCATTTAACAACAACAACAATGTAAAAGACTGGAGGCTTGGTGTGCTGCTATAGGATAATCACTAGACTGCTAATTGAAAGGTTGGTGGCTCAAACCAACAAGTCATTCCTTGGAAACCTCATCCAGGGTTGCTAACAGCAGGGACACTCTTGACGGCACTCTAAAACAATTGTTGTTGCTGTTAAGTATGAGTTGGTTCCAAATCATAGGGATCTGATTTGGAGTCCAAATCATGAGGAACAGTTGGTGGGTAGGAACTTCTGGCCTTGTGATCTAGTGCATTATCCTGCAGTACCTCATCAGGGCTCCTGAAACCTATGAAAAAGCAATTACTCCCATTTTCCAAACACAAAATCTGAAGCACCAAAAAGATGAAATAATTTACCTATGGTCGGCAGATCAAAACCACGAACTGCTTCTCAGAAACTCTATACAGAGTCACCATGAGTCAGAATAGACTCAGCGCCACTTAACAACAACGACTGAATAAGATTAAGTCACATAACCAGGACTCCATTCAAGGTCTATTTAACCCCAAAGTTCATGCCCTTCCTACTGCACCAAACAGATTTCTGTAATCCTAAAGCATAAATCTACTTTAAAACAAAATAAAAACACAAAGACCTAGACAGTATTGTTACTACACTGTAAATCAAGGTGGTCTAAATGTATAATAGTAGGAGCCCTGGTGGCACTGTAGGATAAGCACAGCACTGCGGACTGCAAGGCCAGCAGTTCAAACCCACCAGCCCGCCGTGGAAGAAAGCTGAGGCTTTCTGCTACATAAAGAAACCATAAACCATATCCAACTCATAGGATATGGTTTATGGTTTCTTATCTGTTTATGGTGTCCGAGGCTGTAAATCTTTGCTGTAGCAGAAAGTCTCATCTTTCTCCCACAAAGAAGCTGGTGGTCTTGAACCCTCAACCTTGGGGTTAGCAGTCCAGTGTTTGTCTGTTTATCCTACAGAGCCACTGCACTCCCACCGTAAAGACCTACTGCCTCAGAAATTCTATACAGACTAGCTGAGTCGGAATCAACTCGATGGCAGTTGGTTTCGTTACGGAATGCTGGTGGTGGGGTAGGTTAAGCACTGGTTCCTAACTGCAAGGTCATACCTACCAGCACTGCTCTGAGGGAGAAGGATGGGACTGTCTGCTCTCATCAAGATTTACATTCTCAGAAACCCTATATAGGGGTGTTATGAGTCAGAATTAGCTCAATGGTACTGTTAGCTTTCTTTTAATGTAGGAAGATAAGAAGCAAACCAAACATCAATTATACAGTAATATCAAATGAAGAGTTACTTTCATAGTTGCTTGTTTCAGTCAAACGGTATTCAAATTTCTTCGGTTACTGCATGTGCTTGTAAGAGCATTTCATATAATATGATGTGTATAGCATCATATTGCATTTCCCAATTAGCAAAACAAGGTTTTATTTGCTGTTTTTTACAGGTATGGTAATATAGCCCTGATTTTCAAGAATCTATAGTGTTACAAGATTGCTTCCCCTTCATTATTATCAACTGATAACAGGCAGCTGAGGGCCCATTGCTGAGTCACATAATTCATAAATTATGAAAATAGGCAATTAATTCACATAAACATAGCTAAATACAATTTTAAAAATTCTGTAAAGTGACATTTACATTCATTTTAATTATACATGATTTGCTCTAACCTAATAGAAATATTAAAACTAATTGTCATATTAGCTGAGGATAAATTGTCATTTATGCTGAGAAAGGTATCCTATAATTTTCAAATAATATATTATTAGTTATGGTTTTACGGTGTTCCTTTTTTTTTATCCTTAAAAAAAAAAAAAAACAGAAGGAAAGAAAAACTAGGAAATTACTTACCACCCCGAACATGTAGTTCATCTCTCATTTCTTTACTAATTTGGGCTGGAGTAATATATTCCTTCCCATCAAGTGTGTGAACTACATCTAGCTGTTTCTGAGCAATCAATTTATTCACAATCTCAATGCAGTTCCGTTCAGATAATCTGAGGCAAACAGAAAAATAATACTTTAAAAATTGCACTGATATGTTTGATACTCAATAAAACTCCCAGAATGTATGAAAACAAGCTTTTAAAAACAGTTGGGACAATGAATCAATAAGTTGTATATTACAAAATACAGATCTTGCACTAATACAACAACACTGCATAATTCTGTGTTGTTGTTGTTTTTTTAATACTTTTTGGAAGTAAGTTTACATGCACTTAAATCATTTACTTAATAGGCACAAATCATGCTGTCTTTTTTTGGTTTGCTTCCACTCTTCAAACCTGAACGCAGAATTCCGAGTACATAAGTTAGGCAGGAAAAATATCTATTCTATTTTTACATTAATTTTCAGTTTAACTTCAGCAAAACCCAGGGTTTGTTTTTAAATTAAGTGGGTAGCTCCCTCATTCATGCACTTGGTCTATAGCCTGGAAGAAGATCTGAGCTAATAAAACTATAGCTACTTTTTTTAAGTTCAACAAGCACCTATTGAGCCCTAGTTTGCACTAAATGCACCTATTGAGCCCTAGTTTGCACTAAATGCTACAAAATGATATAGCATTAAGGGACTAAGGAATGAAAACACAGCAAGCAAAAAACACTCAACTGAGAAAAAGAACTTATCATTATACAACTGTGTTCTCTAATATTAAAAAGCAGAGTTAGCAAGTTCCTTAGAGGTCAGTGAATTTTAAGTAATGTCAGTGCTCTGGCCTAAGAATGACAGTGGGGCAATGGGTCTGGCCTAGAACAACTATGTTGTTATGTGTGTGGAGTCGGTTCCGACCCATAGCGACCCTGTACAGGGTTTCCGAGACTGTAAATCTTTACGGGAGCAGAAAGCCTCATCTTTCTCCGGCGGACCAGCTGGTAATTTCGAACTGCTGGCTCTGAGATTAGCAGGCCCATTTGTAACCACTACGCTACCAGAGAACAACTATGTTGTTGTTATGTGCCGTGGAGTCGGTTCTGACTCATAGCGACCCTGTACAGGGTTTCCGAGGCTGTAAATCTTTACAGGAGCAGAACGCCTCATCTTTCTCCCAGGGAACAGCTGGTAGTTTCGAACTGCTAACTTACGAACTGCTAACCGTGAGATTAGCTGCCCGATTCGTAACCACTACACTACAACTATGTTGTTGTTGTGAAGTGCCGTCAAGTCGGTTCCGACCCATTGCGACCCTGCACAGGGTTTCCAAGGCTGTAAATCTTTACGGGAGCAGATTGCCTCATCTTTCTCCCGCGGAACCGCTGGTAGTTTCGAACTGCTGACCTTAAGGTTCACAGCCCGATTCGTAACCACTACGCTACCAGAGCTCCTTAGGACCGACAAAAAGTTAACATCAGATTTAATGGGACTACGTAGTATTTAGGAGTCCTGGAGTGGCGCTGTGGGTTAATGCGTCACACTGCAAAGTCGTTTTAACTACAAGGCTGACGGTTCAAGCTCACCAGCTGCTTCTTGGAAACCCTATACAGGATTGCTATGGGTCGGAATCAACTCGACAGCACGTTACAACAACAACATAATATTTACAAAGCACTGTGTGTAGGGTCAATCTCTTCTTTCAATCTTAGTCTGTTTGCAGACGTCTAGGTCAATGATGCCACATTGATTTGGTGGCGGGTGGATGGAGGGCCACAGAGGGTCACTTAATAGAGACTGCCCCTAAGTCACTAGCCTCGGACACCTGGCGTGGGGGGGAGGGGGCGCCGGAGCGAAGTGGATGCGGGATTCCCCAACGAGAACTCCTCGGGGAGGAGACGGGAGCAGCAACAAGCTGGAAAGGTCCGGGGTTAGGAGTCTGCGGTTCCACCCAGGGCCTATCTGTGGCTCCACTATGGAAAGGGAGGGTCGGGCACCTCTGAGTGGCCTCAGCGAACTGCGCCCGCTGGAAGTCAGCCGCCAGCCGCCTGATCTCCTCCCAGGCGTCCGCCATCACCAAGCCGTAGAACCGCAGACACGTCAGCCCAAAGGCCACGGGAGGGGAGGCGAGGTGCAACGGGCCGCGCAGAGGGACAAGAGACTCCGCCCAGACTCCAACGCCGAAAGCGCTAGGCCTGCGTCGAGTGAGGCCGGGCCGGAAGTACCTCAGCCCCTCCCACGTAACCGGAGCGTCGTGTTCCCAGCCAGTGGGCTTCGACCATGCGACTGAGTGCTAGAGAGGAATTGGTGTCTTTAGGTCTGCGGGCGTGATGCAAAAGGGGAATCTATGTATTAAAATGTTATTTCAAGTCTTTGCATTTTCTCTAATGTTTAATTCCCTTTTTGCAGGGCATTGTTTTTAAATAAGACTGGGCCCAGGGTTTTTGTTTTTGTTTTTTTTTACTATATCGGAAGAAGAGTGAAAAGAGTTAGATTTTTTTTTTTTTTTGCACAAAGATGAATAATTATGTTACCGTAAATATAGAATTGTTTTCATGTATTTTGGAGCCAACGTTATTTCTCTTACAGGGAAGATTACTCCATCAAATAACGAAGGAATATAAGTAGATGGTAGTAAGTGCACCGTTGTTGTTGTTAGTGCCTTGGAGTGGATTAATTTATGACCCACTCTGTAGAGAGTTCAAGGAGTGGCTGGTGGCTTTCAAATGCCTACTTTGCAATTAGCAGTTAATTGCTTATCTTATGGCACCACTCCAGGAAGTTTTACTTTTATACTGTCTCTCTCTCTCTTTTTAACTTATTATTATCCCTGTAATTACAGGCCTTATAGAATATTGTTGTTAAGTGCTGTCGAGTCAGTTCCAACTCATAGTGACTCTGTAGGGTTTCCAAGGAGCAACTGGTGAGCTTGAACTGCCAACTTTGTGGTTCAAACCAACTTGGTAGTTCAGTGCATTAACCCACAGTGGGATAAGTTATTTAGTTGCTTTTACATCGCAGTGCCTAGTTTTAGAACAAACTCTGGTAGCTTAGTGATTGCAAGTCAGGATGCTAGCTTCAAGGCCAGCAGTTCGAAACTAACAGCCATCCTGTGGGAGAAAGATGAGGCATTCCACTCTCATAAAGATTCACAGCCTTGGAAACCCTATTCAAGGTCGCTGTGACTGTGAACCGACTTCACAATATACCTCCACCACCACCTTATTTTAGAGAAAGATGAAGCTTTATGCTCCTGCAAAGACTTGCAGCCTCTGAAATCCTGTACAGAGTATATATGAGTAGGAACCAACTCATTACACTTAACAACAACAGCCTTGTTTTGGGCGACTCAAATCCAACACCACAAATGTACTTGTCTATTAAGGTTCCTGGAGTCCTGGTATGGTGCTATTGTGTAAGCACTGGACTGCTAAACGCAAGGTCGGCGGTTCAAATCCATCAGTCGCTCCTCAGAAATCCTGTATAGGGTAGCTTAGAGTCAGTACTAACTCAACAATAACAATTAAGGTTCCTAACCTGATTGAAAACATGGGGAACCTTCTTAAGAAATTTGTTTTTAAGCATTACCACCAAACATCAATTCTGACAAAATGATAGCTGATCAAGATGTGGTGCAATAACAGAAGTCAGCATCCTAATTTGGAAGACTGATGAGTGGTATGGTTCCAAAGATCAAGCTTCACACGGAACAGAAACATTTATAATAAATAATATAATAAATAAGTAAGACATTTGTTGATTCCTTAACAGATGTCACTGAATGAAGTGGTGACTAAATCAGACATGATCTTTCTATAGAGGATTTACAAATCTAATGAAGCAGATTTTAAAAATTTACGTAAATACCTCCAATTATAGTGGAAAATACATAACTAGCAACAATAGGGAGTTTTAGGTACAGGGACCATTTGACATGCAAATTTCTTGCCTACCCCATAAGATCCACACAATCTGATGGGAGCCTACTTTCAGGCAGCATAATCTAGAACATTGTTGTTAAGAGCCCTAGAGTCAGTTCCAACTCTTAGTGACCCTGTATAGGGTTTCAGAGGAGTGGCAAGTGGGTTTGAAATTCAAACCTTGGGTTAGGAGTATTTATCCTAAGTTATCCAATGCTTGTCCTAAGGCACCACACTAGGACTTCAATAGCAAGTGTGAATTGCCTTGCCATTTCCTAAACATGCCAAGCCTTTTTAGGACTCCCAACTCCTTTCTGAAATGCCTTGCAATTTCCTTCAACTCTGTTTGTTTGGTTGTTGTTGTTAAGTGCCATAGAGTCAGTTCCGACCCAAAGCAATGCTGTATAGGCTTTCCATAAGGAGCTCTGGTAGTTCAGGCTGCTAACTTCAAGGTCAGCATTCATTCCTGACCAGTCATTCCTCAATAGAAAGATGAGACTTTCTGCTCCTGTAAAGATTTACAGCCTCGGAAACCCTATACAGGATCACTCTGAGTCTGAACCGACTCCACAGCACACAACCACCACCACCATTTTTCCTATGGTTTCCTGTGTGGCACTGTAGGATCAGCACTGAACTTTGAACCACAAGGTGTGTAGTTCAAGCCCACAGCTGCTCCTCAGAAACCTTATACAATTCAATGGCACATAACAACAACAACATTTTTTCCATGAGTGTTCTGATGTAGTGCTGTAAGATAAACACTAGACCCACGGTCAGTGTGACTTGCAAGGTTGGCAGATCAAACCCACTAGTCGTGCCTTGAAAACCCTATACAGGGTCGCTGTGAGTTGGAACAGTCTTGATGGCACTTAACAAATATTTCCATGAGAAGTCCTGGTGGCACAGTGGTTAAGTACTCAGTGCCTGACCAAAAGATGTTGGTTCGAATCTACCAGCTGCTTCTACACAAATTGTTGTTGTTGTGAAATTGCCATCGAGTTGGTTTCCAACTGTATAGGGTTTCTGTATAGGGTTTCTGTATAGTTGGTTTCCAACTGTATGGGGTTACCCTGTATAGGGTTTCTGAGGAGTGCCTGGTGGGTTTGAAATACCAATTTGCTGTTAGCAGTCCAGTGCTTATCCTACAGTACCACACCAGGACTCCCATAAAATTACAGCCTTGGAAACCATAAAGGATGGTTCTACTTTGTCCTATAGGGTCACGATGACTTGCAATTGACTTGATGGTAAAGGATTTGGTTTGTTACTTTTTTTTTTTTCCATGATGTTCTAACTTTTGAAACAAACCGTTTTCTAAAAAAGTCTCCTACATTTATTTTATTTGCCTTGTCCCACAATGCATTGTTTAGATGTTGGACACCTGCTGTGGTGCTGTAGGATAAGTATCCGACTGCTAACCACAAAGTCAATGTTTCAAACTCACCAGCTACTCCTTAAAAACCCTCTACAGGCTTGCTTTGAGTGGAATCAACTCTACAGAATTTAGCAGCAACAACAATAAAGAGTCAGGAGCCCTGGTGGTGCTGAGGGATAAAAATGTTGGACTGCTAATCTCAAGGCTGGAATTTCAAACCCATCAGTTGCTCTGTAGGAGAAAGATGAGGCTGTTTGCTTCTTTAAGATTTACAGTCTCAGAAACCTTAAATAGTGTTGCTATGAGTTGGAGTCACCTCAATGACAGTAGGTTTGATTTTTGTTGTTGTTGTTATATTGTTTTCTAAGTTAAAGGAGCCCTAGTGGTGCAATGTTTAAGCACACAGGTGTTAGCTAAAGGTTGACAGTTCAAACCCCACAGTGATTCTGTAGGAGAAACATCCTGGCTATCTGCTCTCATAAAAATGACAGCCTAGGAAACCCTATGGTTCTACTCTGTTTTCCATGATTGCTATGAGTCCTTTCAATGACAGACAGCAATAGCAAGTCCACTGTCTTGTGATTTATTTTATTTTTTATATGTTTCAATAGTTTTTGAGCTCCTAAACTAAGATCCAAAACCGACTGCCATCTAGTCGATTCTGCCTCATAATGACCCTATAAAACCACAATAGAAACTCTCAGTAGGCTTTCTGAAACTATAAATCTTTACTGGAGCAGACGACCTCATCTTTCTCCTGGGGGGTGGCTTGCAGGTTTGAACTGCCCATCTTGCAGTTAGCATCCCAATGCTTAAACCAAGCCAATACCACGACTCCTTTGAGCTAATAAGGGAACTATTAACGATCTTCATCATTTAGTATGACAGCCGGTACCTGGTATATTCCATAGATTATTTTTACTAGTCAGTGTAAATGTTTTGGTCCAGCACTATATTTTGGTGAAGTAATAACATTTATGTTTATTCCAACAAAAAGGACCATAGGTATAATTCATGGCCATGTGTTAATATTTAAAATTAAATTAATCATAGTTAAATTTCACCACTCTGTCAGTTCATGTACTGTGAGGGCTTATGTGTTGCTGTGATTCTGGAAGATATGTCACTGATATTTTAAATATCAGCAACGTCACCCATGGAGGACAGGTTTCAGTTGAGCTTATAGACTAAAACAAACTAAGAAGAAGGAGAGATGAAATATTTCCAAACGTTTAGTCACTGAAAACCTTATGAATAGCAGCAGAACACCATCCGATAGCACCAGAATAATGAATACTGAAATACGATAAAGGGATGTTGTGCTGGAAGATAAGCCTTTCAGGTTGGAAGTGACTCAAATACAACTGGGGAAGAGCTGCCTCCTCAAAGTAGAGTTGACTATGATGACTTAAATAGAATAAAACTTTCAGGGCCTTCATTTGCTGATGTGGCACAACTCAAAATGAGGAAAAACAGCTGTAAACATCCATTATTAAATGGATCATGGAATGTACAAAGTATGAATCTAGGAAAACTAGAAATTGTCAAAAATAAAATGGAAAGCATAAACATTGATATCCTAGGCATTAATCAGCTGAAATGGGCTAGTATTAATCATATTGAACCTGACAATCACATGGTTTGCTGTACTGGGAATCAAAAATTGCAGAGGAGTGGCATCACATTCATCATCAAAAAGAACATTTCAAGATCTATCTTGAAATACAACTGCTGTCTGTGATAGTATAACACCCATAGGCCTACAAGAAAGACCAGTTAATTTAGCTATTATTCAAATGTAT